GATTCAGTAGATCTGGGTTGAGACCTTAGAATTATATTTCTAACTAGAGGCCCGATGCACAAAATCCGTGCAAGGGGCTCAGCCCTCGCAGTCCCAGCTGTCTTGGCCCTCGCAGCCCAGGCTTCATCCAGAAGGTCATCCAGATGGTCATTCTGCCGCTTGGTCTAATTAGCATATTAGCTCTTTATTATATAGGACAAGTTCTTAGGCTGCTAGTCCATGGACCTTACCTGAGTAATCACTGAATTAACTCATTCAATCCCCACTTTAACCCTATGAAGTAAGTGTTAAGTCTGATCAAATAATTGAATTGATATCCCCTCCCCTGGGAAACTGACCTTTAGATCATTTCACAACTGACATTCCCTTTTGTTTAGACCACATTCCATTTGTTATGGACTTACCCAGGATCCAGACCCACCCAGTAAATTCCCCACCGGAAAAACCCACCTAGAGTCCTTTCAAATCTCTGACTCTCTGTCCCTGGGTGCTAGTGCCAATTTGGGGCTCAGCCCATCTGGTTTCCAGATCACTAATAAATTTATAATTCTTTACCACTTTTGACCCCATGCATTCCTCCTTCGGTGACCCTAACAGTAAGTACCATTATCATCAGCATTTACATATGGAAACTGAGGCACAAAGCAGTCAAATAAGTTTCCCAGAGTGGCACAGGTAGTAAACGGCAGAGCCAGGCTTCCACCTTAGACACACTGGATCCTGAGTTCATGCTTATGACCATGACACTGGACATATAAGGTGTTAACAGAGCACAGACAGAGCCACTCTGGAGACCAGAAAGATTTCACAGCAGAGGTAACTAAGAAGCAAGTCTTAGAGGAAGGGTGGGGAGTCCCTGAAGGAAGGTTGCGGTTGTGTATTCAAGGGTGTGGGGACAGCGTGTGTAACAGCCCAGAGGAAAGAAAGGGCATGGCTCTTATTGGAAACTACACAGCTTGGTCTTGCCCTGTATAGTTCTTATTTTCCTGCTTATCCCTTTAGGGCAAAGGTCATTGTTCTGAAATTCTACACCAAGTATCAAGCTGAAATTCATGCTTGCTGCCTTGACTTATCATGTTTGATAAGATAAAATGAACATGACTTCATAATGAGGAACTAAAATGTCAACACTTCTCTGGTTAACCATGTGAAAAATAAATTAGGCCATCAATTTTGTGAAAGCTTGGGCTGTTTTAATTTCATTATGGGGTGTGACAAGTAAGAAATAAGACTTTATTTTCCTTCTTTGGGAGATTAAACTACTCAGCTTAATGAAGTTCTTTTGTTTGATTTAAAATTATGCCTATTTACCGGTTTTCCAGTGAAAAGAACTAAAAGCTGTGGAATAAGAATTGTAGTCTCTTGCTTTTTCTTGGTTTCGGTGACTGAATCATTGACTGTTTATTCTGGGTTTCCTCTCTTCATTTAATCCTGTATTGTGTATTAAATGAATTGATTCAGCCTTAGAATAATAGAAAAATATGAGAAACACTTCAGGTAGAAATAGGTTAGCTAATAGGAAGATAACTCTTAAAATTGTGATTGCTGTGGAGGGAAATATGTAAAAAATAGTTTTAAGATGAACTATAAGTATCCTGGCTGGGTAGCTCAGTTGGTTAGAGCATTGTCCTGATACGCCAAGGTTGTGTGTTCAATTCCCAGTCAGGGCACTAGCAAGAATCAACCAGTGAATGCTTAAATAAATAGAGCAACAAATCAATATTTCTTTTTCTCTCTAAAAAAAAAAAAGATTAGCAATAAGCATTAGGAAATCCTCGAAGTTTTTTCAAATGGCCTTCATAAAAAGACTGCCACCTGTTTGTGTGTGTGTGTGTGTGTGCGTGCATGCGTGCACATGTGGGTGCACTTGTGCACATGCACACTTTTAGAGGGTTAAGTATTCCCTTTCCTCTCTGATATACATAAGCTGGGGTCTGTGTTTGAGGGCAGGAGTAGTTTCACATCTCTGCCTCATCCATTCAGTTTGACAGATGAGGGCGCTGATGCTTTGAAAGCACTATATCAGGTCCCTATATCTGTATATACATTTAGTTTTCACAGCACTTTTGCATGTATTCTCCATTGGTCATACACTTACATTATTGTTCACCTATAATTTTCTTATCTTCTTACATTAATAGGCCAGCTACAAATGCATGCATATTGTGAAAACCCAGATATAGTGTTATGTGGGAATAAGAGTGATCTGGAAGACCAGCGAGCAGTGAAAGAGGAGGAGGCCAGAGGACTTGCAGAGAAATATGGGTGAGTATTTTTGTGGAGAAATCTAGAGAAAACATGTCCAATTTAAACATTAGCACATGAATAAATAACAAAAAAGATAAAAGCAAAAAATAGAAACAAAACACTCAGCTGTAGGCCTTGGGAGGTATCAAATATCTACTTTGCATGTTAATCCTATATAATAAAACCCTAATATGCTAATTGACCGAACAGAGGAACAACAAGTCGCTATGATGCGCACCAGGGGGCAGACACTCAACACAGGAGCTGCCCCCTGGTGGTCAGTGTACTCCCACAGGGGGAGCGCTGCTCAGCCAGAAGCTGGGCTCACGGCTGGCTAGCGCAGCAGCAAGGAGCGGGCCTAAGCCAGCAGGCGGACATCCCCCAAGGGGTTCTGGACTGTGAGAGGGCGCAGGCCATGCTGAGGGATCAGCCAGAAGCTGGGCTCACGGCTGGCTAGCGCAGCAGCAAGGAGCGGGCCTAAGCCAGCAGGTGGACATCCCCCCAGGGGTTCTGGACTGCGAGAGGGCGCAGGCCATGCTGAGGGACCCTTCCCCAGTGCACTAATGTTGTGTACCGGGCCTCTAGTATTATATAATAGTGGGGACCATAGAAAAAGCATTGGAGAAGGGCCTTTGTTCAGTTCTTCCGTCCCATTTTCTCAATCTCTTGGTGTTTGAAGAAAGACAGTGTTGAGGGTAGATACCCTAATTTTGTAAGGGCTCCTTTACAAGATGCAAGTAAGTGACCCCTGGGATAAGGACATCCTTTATGTCCAACAAGGACATTTCAAAGCCAGTTCATCTGCTGCTGTAGAGAGCTCCAGCATACACGAGGGCCTTCTTGGCTTTGAAGTTTCTGTGCTGGGAGAGGAGTGTGAAGATCCCCTGGGGTTTAGGCTGTGCTTTTATGGAGAATCAACTAAAACTGTCTTCGTCCTTGAGCTCTGGGAAGAGGATCGTATAGCGGCAGCATTCATTGGACATAAAAGGAGGGGTCAGCCCTTTTTATTAAAGTGTCAAGGGCACCATTACACAGGAATTTGTACTTTACTTTTTTTCTGCCTCAAAAAAAATGAGCACTCAAATATATGTGTATTAATTACCCTTAATATCAGGGGGAGGCAGCCAGTGGGGTTGAGAAGGAAGGGGTGGGAGAGAGGAGGAATGTGTGGTGTGGAGGGGTGAGGTCTATAGGGACGGTACCTGGCGAGTGGCTTTGGTTGTTAGAATCCAAAGAGGCCAGAGGAGGCTCTTTCCCTTTTCATTGTCTGAGCCCGGCTGTGCTCTTCCTGGGGCTGATGGAGGTTCAGAAAGCACTCAAGGATGGGAGTCACACTGGGAAGAGAGTGCAAGGATAGGTCAGGCCTGTGGGAAGAGGCCAGAGGCTGCAGAGCTTTGACTATCACCTAAGGAGAGTGAAATTGGTTTCCTGGGGGACAGGGAGTTGCTGAAAGCCTTTGAGCACAGAGGGATGTCATCCGCACTTTTCCAGATCAGTCAGGGTGAGCGGGGGCGGGGGGTGGCTGTGAGGGGGGTATGGGCAGGAGGAGAGGGGAGATGGAACAGGAGGAAAGACTGGAGACAGGGAGATTGCAGTGATCTGTGAAGTAGGGAGGGGCTGGATTTGTGAAAAGGAAAAGGACTAAATCAGAGAAAATACACAGGTCGGGCAGAACAGGATTTTACATCTTAAATCCAGCACCAGGAAGGGGGTGGTTCCCATCAACTAGGCTGGCTCACGCTGGTGAGGATCTGCAGTCAGATGTGGAGGTTTTCACTCAGGGTAGAGGGTGGGGAACCATGTTAGAAGCACCTGGGGAGCTTTTAACAAATACTCATGTTTGGGCCTCGTCTCTGAGCTTCTGACATAATTGGTCTGGAGTGGTTTACCAGGCAGGGCTCCGTGAACAAACATACGTACAGAGGGGTTTGACTTTATGCTCTCGTGGGAGCTGGGTAGGCAGTCTCTGTCAGGTGTAGTTTTGTGTCTGATGCTGCAGCTTGAGGTCCAGAGGACAGGCAGTCAGGAAGGGAAGCTGGATCTACAGTGGGAGAGAGCAAGAAGCAGCTGGACCCATACTTACTGACCCAAACCTTGTCAGTCATTGTCGCCTCTGACCTGGATGGTGTGGGTGTCCTGCAGCAGCCAGGGCTCTGCTCACAGAGCTAAACACTCACACCTGGCCCAGGAGTCGGAGAAGCTGGAGGAGGATCTAGGGGAAGATGGAGCAGGTGCAGGTCTGGCTGCTGGCTTATGCCAAGGAGATGAGCCAGCAGGTAAGCAACAACGTGTGAGAGCTACAGAATAGCTTCTGCTTCACTTCCGTCCCCCAGATCTCTCTGTGGTCCGACCTACCTGGGAAGGGAATTCTGGGAAATGTCATTGACATATTCAAAGCCACCACAGGTGGGGGCCTGGACATTGGTATCTTTCAAAGCTCTCCATGTGATTGCATGCACAGGGGTTGAGATATGCTCTCTTCCTCCCTTGAGAGGCACTCCTGTAATGTAGTGGTCGGGGTCTGATACCACAAGAACACAGCACTGAAGCTGGGAGCCATGTTGCAAGGAGGTGAGGAGGAAGTAAGTGATGAAGCAATGGAAACCACGGGCCTAGACCGTGCTTTTGAGAAGTGTGTTAGTAAAGGTCAAAAGAACAAAACCTAGGGCAGCCAGTGCAGTTAGCTACATCAAACAAGTATATTCTCAAGTTTGGGGCAGAGTCAGGATTGACTTCCTCCTCCTCTGAGCTTCTTCAGCCCTTTGCTGGTTTCCTTGGTTCATTCCACATCCTGCCTGAGCCCGAGGTTGCTTTCGGACTATGTGGAGAATCTGGGGATACAGGGATTGCTTTTCATCTGTGCTCAGATTACAGGTTTGGGGAGTATTTTAAAGAGAGAGGCTCAATCTAAAGTTTCTGGATTGAATAAAGATGAGGAGAGATGGGATTAGCAGATAAGGGAATTGAAACTATTGGAGAAGAATGGAAAGGAATGGAAACAAAATTCCTTTAACATTTAGGAAGTATAGAGTATAGTTCTGTAGGCTGTGCCCTGCCCGGGAACTGAACTGTGACCTCCAGGCTCACGGGTCAATGCTCAACCACTGTCACACCAGCTGGGCATGACATATCTACATATCATTTGTATGTTGTCTGATAAATTTGCATTTTTGTTACTATTGTGCTGCCTTCTATCCTCAATTCATAAAAATGGATCAGTGGTTCACAAGTGATTCTCTGAAATATACATTCAGAGAATGACACACCGTGTCTCAGAAAAGCTTTGCAAACCTAACAAAGGACGTGTTACAGTGCAAATACGGAACATACATCTGTGTGTGCTGGGACAAGGAAATCAGAGAATGAGAACTCCATGCAGCAGCCCGAAATGGAAAGAGCGAGCTGAATGCATGATGATGACTCTCAGGAAATTTAGTTTTAGTAGACTAAGAATCCATTTATCCCTAATTTCCTGCAGAATCTTTTTTGCTATAGACTTGGTTAAATTGTAATATGATGTTCTTGAGCCACTTCCTAGCACAACAAAGTGGATTATTGGTAAACCAATCAAGTTCTTGTAGAACAAGTGCAAAACAATGCTTTGCAGTATGTTACATTGAATAATATTGTCATTGAAGTCAGAGGAGAGAACAAAACAGAGGTTTGTTCAAATTTTTAGTCCTGCCAGTAAAAACTATTACAAGTCACACTGTTGCTGAAACATTTTTAAGAACAGTTACAAAGCCCTGGCCTGTGTTTTTCAGTGGTTAGAGCATGACCCGTGAACCAAAGCGTCGGGGGTTCAATTTCCTGGTCAAGGACCTGTACCTGGGTTTAGGGTTCAGTTCCCCACCCTGGGGACATGTGTTGGGGGGCAACCAATTGATGTCTCTCTCTCACATTCATATTTTTTCTCCCTCTCTCCCTCCCTCCCTTTCACTCTCTCTAAAAGTCGGGGACATGTGTTGGGGGGCAACCAATTGATGTCTCTCTATCACATTCATATTTTTCTCTCCCTCTCTCCCTCCCTCCCTTTCACTCTCTCCAAAAGTTGACGGAAAAATATTCTCAGGTGATACACACACACACACACACACACACACACACACACACACACACACAGAATAGCCACAAAGTCAGTGGCAAAGATAGCAGAAGAGAGCAGTATTGCCAACATTCCTCTTGTAGGTGACGCTGTCGGAGCTGAAGCTTTAGTGTGCATCAGAATCACCTGAGAGCTGTGTCCCACCATTTCTGCTTTTGGTAGATGCTGCTGCTGCTGGTGGTGGTTGAGGATGAGAACCACTGGTGTAGATGCCAAGTTACTGTCAGGTGTGCCTGCTGGCAGATACTTTCCTGGACAAAATAGCTGGACAGAACACTTATGCCCAGAATAGAAAGCACTTGTCTACTGATACCATGCATGGGTGAGGGTAGCATGCTCAGTGACTTCCCATTGGAAACTCTATGCTAAAAAGAAAAAGGATTTTTTTTCTCACACAGTTCATTGTGCCAGCTGTGATATAGATTGGGAGGGACACTAGGATTGGTATGGAGGGAGCACCAGCCTCCGTGGGCAGGCAAGGACTTTACTCTGGTTGCACCTAAATTCCCTCCCTCACTCTGCTTTACTTACAGAGGATAGTCGGTGGTCATTAGAAGACTTTGTCCTTGATTCAGAGTTGAGGATAATAGAGAAAATTGTGAATGCGATGAGAGCATGATAATTGAATGTACATATTTCATGTGCCGTGCCAAGAAATAGGCAGCAAATGTTTAAACATTGAGATAATTGACATATAATACTGTATTAGTTTTTGGTGTACAATATAATGATTTGATGTGTGTCTATATTGCAAAATGATTACCAAAATAAGTGTAGTTAACACTCATCACCACATATAGCTACACCTTTTTTAGTGTGTGATGGGAACTTTTAAGGTTTACACTTTTAGGGGCTGCAAAATTAAAACAACTTGTGTTCCCACTGAAGGCTGTTGGCTATTCATGAGGAAGGT